AATACAGCTGTTGGTTTGCATAATCAACATAGACATAATATAATAATTTGTAAATTACAGATAAAGCTGCACTATGTTCTCTGCAAGAAATCTAGTTGTTTTATTCATTTTTTACTTTATACTTGCTGCTTTAAAATGATATTGACAAGAGGCAACAGCCAAACTAATTTTCACTTCCTCATTCTTCGATCATGGCCTTGATGTTAAGGAAATAAAGATGACAGGAAATCCCCTTGTTTGATTTCCAAGAGCATTTGAAAAAATGTCTGTCCCCTTTTCTCTGTCTTTTCCTGGTATGTCTCTACTGCTACCTTTACAAAAAGGTAAAACAGTGGCCAAGTAAGATGAAACACTATGGATGGGACACGGATCACAATGGACAAAACAATCGAGCTGTGCTGTAAAATCTCTTTGCACAATAATAAGGAAGTAATTTATGATGAGATGCATCTTACTGTGGATAAGAAACCCCCTCCCCCACATGGCAAAATATTTTTTTATCTGTCAAGCTAAACCTGAGCAAATTTGGTCTTTCTAGCTGCGTCCTTTAATGACATGAGCACAATTTAGGAGTAGCTCATCAGAAGGTCAAATCATTTTTAATTTTTTGTAATATTTATATTATAAAACATAACAAAACTGGGTTAGATCATTCTCAAAAACATATTAGATTATTTTAATTGCACTAAAGCCAAGTTTTTTTCATTTTAAACTGTAAAAGTCTCAAAACCTGGTATAAAAATCATGAATTTTGCTGTAGCACTGCATTTATATATGATGTTATTATATAGACATCCACTCAGGCCCTTTAATTTATGGCATTTTAAAGTATTTTTTAACTTCTTTCTAAAAGAGAGTGTTAGTCCCACTGGATCTGGTTGTAGGACTGGCTACAGGCACAGATATGGAGAGTAAAACGAAGTGTGAACGCACCACCAGGTAGCCAGTGCGCAGGAATAAAACCACACCGAAAATGTTGATCATGCAGGTGGTGAAAACTCCGTCCCAGGTGCCGAACAGCACCGGCTCCCACACGAACACCTTGATCCTCCACCACGGCTGGCTCGCCTGCTGGAAACCCTGAAAACACAGGAACACAACCAGCACAGTACTGATGATGATGACCTAAAGATGATTTATTATCTCCACAAAGGAGGTTATGTTTTCTCTCTGTTTGTTTGTTGGAAGGTTTTTCAGAAACTACTGGACAGATTATCACAACACCTGGTGGAAGTATGTGGAATTTCTCAGGGAATAATTCATGCATCTTGATGAAAAAAAATCAGGAATATTTAGGAAACTGATTAGTGAGTGAAATTGAGTGGGGCCTGAATTAAAGGGGACTGGTGGGTCTTGGCAGAGTTATGAACTCTACTGAGTGACAACAACTGATTCATTTTGTGCAAGAGGAAACATTCATTTCATGTTAATCAGTAATAAAACTACTGATGAAACTTCCAAACTACCTCACTCTCACTTGCACCTCAGTTATTCTGCACCTTTTAGTCTCACAATCCCCTTGGTGATTGTTAATCTATACCTGATGTTTATTATGATTCCTGTAAATATATAGTTTACAAAAATAAGAAAGTCATTGTATTTATCATCAGATTGGCTTCATCGCCATAAATCTGGGAAATATTGAAGATATCAAGGCACATTTCTTCCCTCTTACCTAACATTTACATCGTGTCATACCTGTGCGTCTTCATGAAACAGATCGTGGACGTGTGTGCTGGTGTTGTTGTCCACGACTCCCTCCTTCAACAGTCCAGACTCATGTCCCTCCTGGTCACCTTTGTGCACCGTCCAACCAAATGGGAGGGTATCCATGGCAACCTACAGGTATGTCCCCTTCACGGTGGTCCTGTAGTTGATCATAAATTCAAACATGAGAAGAGAAAATAAATCCACTGACATTTTTCCTCTGAGGTATGAGTGAATGCATGGATGTCTGAGGAGGTAAAGCTGTGTGTGTGTGTGTGTGTGTGTGTGTGTGTGTGTGTGTGTGTGTGTGTGTGTGTGTGTCATGAGACTGACAGAAGGCTGCGTTAGTCCCGCCTCTCCCGGTGAGGACACCCGGATAGGGTGTGCACCTGAATGGTGAGCCAGGTGTTTAACAAGTGCAATAACACATCACCGCGGTGATAAATAAATAAAACCTGCGCTCAGCAGCAAATATAAGGGGACAAGTCATTTTGTTATAGATTTTATAAACCAGCACTTTAGTTGTTACTTTCTATTTGTTTCGTGCAACAAATATATGGATTGTATTAAATAAATACATTAAAAATGTATCTAGTATGAATATAATTTAAAAAATAATGATTTCGAAAACAGGATTCGTCTCCTCGTTACCAGGCTGTCGTGTTTCTACAGTGCAAAGCGGAAAACACCGTTTGGAGCGAAACCTCATTGACAAAACTGCCACTTTAAGGTTAACCGGTGGCTAACGTAAAATATACTGCCTTATCGTCTCGAAACGTCAAACAAAACACTTTTAAATTGCACTATAAGCAATTCGGCAAATTAATTAGATGAAACCAATTTAATTAGCCAACAAGTAAAACAAGTTCAAGTTGAAATGTTAACCAAAAGAAGTGCCTGTTTGTAGGCTGCTTTTTGCACCGATATGTTCAACGACTGTTTATTTCTAATTTCACAAGACAGCTAGGAATACTTGAGGTTGTATTTTAAATTGACAGATTTTTGAATGAAGTTCGGCGTGGTGTTGAATATGAGCAGTGAAGTCGTACCTCTGACAGAGCACCATGTCATTCCATGCTGGTGAGGAAGGGTTGACCATGAATAAAATGTCAGATGAGTTCATTGATCAGTTGATTTCGTTTTGAATCCAGTCAGTGTGATCAGCTCCACGTGTTGAGTGAAACGTCAGCAGCAGCAGCAGTGGACCTTCATGTACATGTTGGTTACCTTCCAGGGTGTTGCTGCTTTGCTCAAGGATCCTGTGTTAGTTTTGGCAAGGCCCACTGCAGACAAGGTTGACTCATGATTAAAGCTGAAACATATGGAGAGACATGGAACTTCAAAATCCTTATCTTCTTCTATTTTATCAGTGGAAATATTTCTCACAACATGATTAGGCCAAAGGAAGATTCTGTCTTTTATTCGTTTGGGATTTAACTGTTTACTTACAAGATCTTTGGAAGGAAGAGTGCAGATTATGAGAAAAACCAAAAGTAGAGGCAGGCAATCTGTAATTTTAGAGTGAATGACACCAGAATACCGATGGTTATGTCAAGTTATAAAGGGCTGAACAGAAACCAGAAGATCTGTAACCCTGGTAAAGACAACTGTCTGGGAGATGCACATCACATTTTAATTAAATGTAAGAATTATGAGTTATAGTATTTTGCTTCAGTATTATCTAACAGCCCATCAGTGTTTGAATGAATTATTTTATAACAATCACAAAAACCAAGTTATTTGTACACTTGATGCTTGAACGTCCTTCCTTTGTTAAAGAAACATTTGTTCAACCGTGCCATTGTTTTGTTTGTGTGTTCTGTTTGTGCTCATACATGTGATCATGGTCTAGAATAAATTAAATGAAGTGTGCTGCGTTTAGAAGTGCTGTATGAATGAGTGAGTGTAACCTGAATATGCACTACATAAATACAGTCCATTCAAGATCTATAATAGTTTGAATACAATCTATACAACAACAAAAAGGAAATGCTCTTTGCTCAATTACTTTTTAACTTCAGACTTATGACAAGTGAAATCAACACATTATTTTACGCGTGGCCCCAGCAGCTGAAAGACCTCTTCATCTCAAACAACCCAAGCTCATGGTGTGAATCATTTTTATTTATAAGGACATGACACACAACAATCAAAACAACAATTTAATCTGATTGTTTACAAATCATAACATATTGCAAAAAGATCTAATCATATGGGGTTACTTGACTGAAATTTACCAGTTACAATTAAAGCTGCACATTATAAAAAAAAAACAAAACAAGTTCACTCGACCCGACAAGTTAGAGACCATGCAAAAAAACCTCACTGTCTAACTTGAGGCTTCCTCGTCAGAGTTTGTTAAAAGTAGGAAAACGTCTGTTCAGGTTCACGCTCCATCCTGTTTGAAACATCTTGACACAAAGGACTTCAACGGAGAGAAAACGAGGGGAGCAATAGATGACGTGTTTCAAAAATACTTTTTATCAAAAAATTCATACTTCAGATCTTTTTTCCTTTTTAGACAAACTTTTTTTCTCTAGCTTTATACAAGGACACTTATGGCCAGGTTACTGTCATGAATCACAGTCAACTGTTTTTTTAAAACTGAATTCAAAATGAACATTTTAACATTTTTTTACAATTTCCCAAAACAGAATTAATCATCTGCAATGTGCTTTTAAAAATTGCTTTCAGTGAAACGGGGAGGTAAAGGAATTTTTCACCCACTGAGAGAGAATTTTTTGCGTAATATTCCACCCAAAATCTACTTGAACTAACATAAGCTGCTCACAGCTGCTGAGGTTGAATACTAAAATGCTGATTTTAGGTGGAGTATTCCATTCAGGGTGCTTTTCTACATACAGGTGTGTACAGTAAAAAAAACATCATAATGCACAATCAACTGCATTAACTTCCCAAACAATTTTATCACCAATAAAACCGTAAAAGTGTCAATTTTCTTCTACTAACATTGTTTACACACAAACCTCAGGAACACGCAGTTTGAATGCTGAAAACGAATAAATGTGCCTCTCGCTGACAAAAAGTGTCGCTTGCATGAGCCTTGTCTCGCGACCGACACAGAGATCTAACAGTACTTCTCAGAACGTAAAAATATACAATGTATTTACAGCAGAATATTGTCTACACATTCTAGAGGGAATGTTCAATAATAAAGTATCTCGGGATTAATGCGGGTGCTTTTCTGCATAGGCGTCAATTTATGTCGCAGCCAGTGGATGCTCGAAACAGTTAAATGCGCCGACCCGACCCCCACGTCCTAAAACACAGCTAATGAAAAAACCATAGCTGACATGAATTGTGGTTTTGGAAAAAGATTGGTGATTAGGGTTTCGAGCAGGACACTGACAGAGAAGCAAGCAATCGCAGACGTGTGCTCCCTCCAGTTGTTGCACCATCCGTGAAGTTTAAAGGGAGAGTTGGGTCAGTTGTTTCTGAAACACTTTTCTTTCTAGTTGTTGAAATCCTGATCACGAAGAGCTGGTGTCTGTGGCCCTCACAGAACTGTGTTAAACAAAACCAATCATTTAATTTGGATGAATGAAATGATTCGCTAGTGCACCTGTCTGTCACTACCCAACCTGCGTGCATGTGTGCACCCTGCCTGTGCTCTGATTGCGCATGACTGGAGTCTTCAGACGGAGACACACAGCTGAAGCAGAGACGATAGGCGGAAGTTAGGGAGCAAGTCGCGAAAAAGTCGGATTCTAGCAGTTGTCAGTCAGTGCACGTTCATTTGTTTTGGAGGCGTAGCTTTGTCGAGGGAGCCAATGGGAGGGGGTGGGATGTATCGTTGCATTTTTGTCAAAGGGTAGCCTGTCCTTGCTAGTTTGTTAATCAGTCCTACGTTTAGTATTAAATCAATGCCAATTTAACTGAACACTGGCACACGTGGCCCGGATCACCCACAGAATCGGCGTCTATGTCTGTCGTATGTCTGTCCCTGATTGTCAGCAGAAACGTTAACAAGAGGGAGCTCGAGGGGAAAGGGAGTGAACTTAAATTTGGATGGTACAGTGATCAACACAATAGCACCTAAGACGTTACACAAACATGTACACATGGAATACAGTCAACAGTGCGATAAAGTACAGAAGAGACCTCACTCAACCATATTTAAAACAAGGCCTATAGACAGACGTGGCTTATGAGCTTATTATCAAAACTACGAATATCTATCTATAACATAACTCATATGGACAAACCGAAGCATGGTACATGAGAATGCATATTCCTTCTGACTACAGATAATGGTTTGACTCTGTGCTATTTCTTGCTTAAAGTCTATGATGGGCAAAATGAGACAAAGCTCCCACATCTCAACGTATCACAGACTGAACAGGTTGATATAGCTTATGTGTGTTGTTATTGTGCAAGTTGAATTAGTAACTTTAGAACATCGGGAGAGAAATGCATGTAAAAGAATGCGAAAAGAAAAAGAAAGAAAGGCACGAATACAAAACTGATGAAACTGGAAAACCAATATCCTTGTTTCCTTTGACCTTCAATGAAAAGAAAGGGTTCTCGTCGTGGTTGTTTTGTTCCCCAGAAACCTGTGCAAGCTCTGATAAGAACAAGAAATCTAACTGCAGCTAAGTCACTAAAGCAAAGATGATCATAATGTAAATCTGACACAGGGGCTTTCACTATAAGTGGTTGATGTTAGAAATCTCAGGTTTTGCCTTTTTAAATAAAGGTATAATGCAACTCATCCACTGTGAAATAAGTACTCCATCCCTTGTAGTGAAGAATGTGCAAGTTGTGCAAACATTAAGCACAATCCTGATTTCACAACTACTCCCTTAAACCAAGAGAAAAGAAGAATTATCCTGCAGTCATTACATGCGTGCAGCTTTTTGGGGGGGAAATACAATCTTTCAGATCTAATTCAGCCCAGTCTTTTTTATATTGCACAGTTCATACTGCACTGGACTTATATTTGTAAGTCACTGCCTAGAAATTCAGCCATGAATGTTAAACAATTCATGACTGAGAATTTCTATTTTTTTGGGACATCACATAAACCAAATTAGGTCCCATCTGTGAATGAGCATCAGATCTGACAAACATTGTCACTTCAATATTTACACGCATTGTGTAGAAACACAGGCGAGTTTAAAAAGACATATAGTCAATAATCTCTGATGATGGTTTCATTTTAATGAGCAGTTAAACAGGAGTTCCCAAGCCTGGGCCACACTAAGTGCGTGTGCAGTGTGCGACAGATGCATCACTGATCGGCTGCGTTTCGCTCGCTTCTGATGTTCACACAGGTGTTTGTTTTGTGTGTGTGTATATATATATATATTAATAATATATAGGCTATGTGCTCAACTAAATGCCAGGAGTCTACAGTAGGGAAGTTGTGGACCTGGTCCTATAATAACAATAAATGCTTTTACCTTGGAACAGGTACAGTTTTGCAAATATCTGCTTGCGACATATTCAACAGTTAAACATTGAAACTGTGGTGAAAGATCATTTTCACTTTCTATTTTGCTGTGAACCAAGTGCGGTAGAGAAAACTGGTGAGACCCAAAATCTCTAAAAGAACAGCACAGACAAGTGTGGCTGCTCTTATCTGATGAAACAGGCGCACAAATGAGAAGCAAGACAAACTGCAACATGCACGCAACGCTCACGCATCCAGTGAGGCCCTGGCGTCATAGTGAACTTAGATTTAACCACATTCACAGCTCGGGGGAGGTAGCTACAGAAAGAGCAGAAAGGCATACTTAAATAGGGCCTACATTTTAAATAGTGGAAATATTGCATTAAGCAGCAAAATTGATTTGATCATCTTTTGCGCAAAGGCAAACTGATTGACAAATAAAAACATTCAAAATAAACTCTATGGCAAAGGTATGAGAGAATAATTTGCTATTGTTATATTATTTCCTCACTCTTTACACTTTGGTCACCTTATCTGTACATTCTGGAGCGAGAACTATACCCACAAATGATTAGAAGTCACTTTTTTAAAGGGGAAATGCTTGTGATTAATTCATTGTCAGTACTTCCATTCAGTTAAGGTTGAAATTACCCCAAAAAATGATTATGAATACGTTTTCTGATAAAATGCTTTGAGAAAGAGCACTCGTTTACAACAGGACTTGTTTTGGCAAAACAGGAGACATGAGATAAAGTGCAGCCGAAATTATTGACAGAAATGAATGACGACGACCCCCCCCCCCCCCCGTCCCTTCAGCCAAAGGTTTCACTGGATGAAACGTCTGGGGAGGAGTTCATTTGAGATCTGGTCTCAGTGACTCTTACTAAGGGGAACTCTGTGAAGTCCGTGCTGTGTCCCCGGAGACTTACTTGTCCGTTGGTTACAGTAAACTGTGAGGAGGCTCCAGATCTCGATGTCTGGAAGTGAGTTTTGAAGTTCTGATCGAAGGAGCTTATCTGAAACGTCTGCAGTATTCCCGGTGAGGACTCTGTCTTTTTAGTGGGCGAGACCTGCTCCAGAAAGTCCTCCTCAGCGGGGGACACTGCGGAGGGAGGGGTGGTTTCATCACCTGAAAATGAAAACGAGTGCTGGGTGTCCCCGACCAGTAATCCAAAGTGAGGTTTGTCTAAAGTGGACCTCAGTGGGGAGCTCATCCCTGATTTGAACCTGCTGGGGGAAGGAAACTGTTTCTCTGTGGAGAATAGAGGCTGTCCGGCTAACGTGGGGCTTTCAGAGACCAGGCTGAGGCTCTGGCTGGTCAGGTAGGTGTCGTTCTGGCTGGTCCTCTCCAGAGCTTGTTGGAGAAACTTGGAGTATTCTTGGAGGAGGCTGACCTTCTCGGTAGCGGGTGGAGCCTGGGCGCTGGAGGCTCCGACACTCTCAACGGGGCTGCTGTCCGATACGTCGGAGGAATTGATGGATATGCTTGACGTCACCTCCGTGTCTGCTACGCTAAAGGAAATGTCTGACTGCCCGTTAGCTTTGTTGGAGTAATGCTCCAACAGCGTCTGGAGAACCTCATCTGGCAGCACGCTCTTGTCGTGAGCTGCCTTGATCTCTGCGTTGGTTGGCTGCGACTCGAGAATGGTGACAGGAACAGTTTCGTCAATGACTGCTGACACCACGGTTTGAGTAACAGGCGGCTGGGAGGAGATGCTGCTTGTGTTCAGGCCATAATCCCGACTGTTGTTGGCCATCGCAGCCTGAAGGTAACGTTTCTTCTTGAGGAACTGCATGGCGTCGTCGTAGTTTGTGCTGCTGGCTGCTGGCTTCGCTGGTCCACCTTGAAGCGTTTCCACTGACTCCAGTTCAGTGTTGCTTTCTATTTCTAACAGGCCTTGTTTGTCCACGATTTCAAAAGTATACTGTGTGACCTTGGTATTTTCCTCAAAGGAGGACAACGTGGACAGACACGGAGGAGTCTGTTCACTGGGCTGTTTAAGACTCCTCTTGGGGACCTTCTTCAGAACGAGCTTAGGAGGAGTCGTCTCCTCTGATGACACGTCTTCTTCCTGGTGGTGGCTGGCTGTTTCTTCAGGAAACCCCACTGAGTAGTCAGCAATCACATACTCATGTTTGACTTTGGAGGACACAGCATAGAGAGGTAGATCTTCAATTTTTTTCTGTCTCTGCTCCTCCTTCTCCTCCGTTTCTACAACAGCGATGATGTGACCTTCCGTCTGGACAGTGGAGGAAGCCCCTGAGCTCTTGTCTGCACACTTCTGGCGCTTTTTCTTGGGCAGTGAACACTCTTTGGCAAGCACAGGGAGGCCTAAAGAATCTTCTTCACGGGAAGCTCCGACTTTTCCAGCAGCCTTGTTGCTCTTTCTCTCTCTGTTCTCGTGACACATTCTCCTGTGCTTTAAAACCCGGTCTGTTCTGGAGAAGTACTGTGGATGGAGGACACACAAGTCACAGTTTATTTGGTGACTGTTTTGTCTACTTATCTTAAATACAAATATACAGAATAGAATAAAATGTGTATTCACAATATAAATATACAATGATGAAGATGTTAAAAGGACAAATTAATATGTGAATTGCTGAATATTTTTATATATTGTGTGTGTTGAATGTTTGTGCAGTTAATTCATCTTTTCTGGACTTGGGCTCTGAATTTTTATCCTAGTTCTGATCTTAAGGACTATTTTCATTATTTAAAAATGTTTTGCTTCTTTTACTATTTACAATCTTTTCATTTCTTATTTCTCCTCTAATGTTGTCAATGTTTTTTGCTCTTGAAATTGCTTTTAATTGTTTACTTTATTCTTTCCTTTTTCAAAGAACTGTGCAAGGTGATAAATAAAGCTTATTGTATCATTATTATTGTTATTTTGAATTTAAATGTTTATACTTATTTACATTTGTTGTTGCACTTATTAGAGAAACAAGTTTTACTTTAGCCAATATTGAAACTTTGTTATTTTTAATTTGTTAAATTGATCCTCCAATTTGACGACATAGCTTTTTTCAGTACTTAATTTATAAACCATACTCAACTTTCTTGATACCTCCACATTCTCTATGTAAAAAGCAAACAAAAGCAGCGCACCTGGTGACAGTAGTCACATTGGTAGGGCTTCTCTCCACTGTGAGTCCTCTTGTGTCGCTCCATGTGATACTTCTGGATGAATCTCATCCCACACTCATCACAGCGAAAAGGCTTTTCACCTAAACACAAAAAAATGGAGAAATGCCAGATGACTCACTTCGAAGAGACTAAAATGATAAATAAAATCCTAGTAAGTACTGACTGTATTCTTCACTCACCAGTGTGGATCTTCTCATGTCTCTGGAGGAGATATTTCTGAATGAAGCGCATGTCACACTGGCTGCACTGAAATGGCTTTTCACCTAGAGTTTGAATAAAATACATACATATGCAGAAACCTCTGTGTAGGCTCAACAAACTGAACACTGCTAAAAGGATTTAGCATTTCAATAATTGAAAAATAATCCAACCGCAACATAAAAACATGACTGTGTAATTCATACCAGTGTGAATGAAGACGTGCCTCTGTAGATGATAGTTGGTTCTGAACGCAGCATTACAGTGACCACAGATGTGACACTTGGGATTCTGTATGCCCAATGATTCGTCGTCATTAATGCTGAGAATCTACGATGACAACAAAGACAAACACGGGTATTTGTTTCAATCTTTCAGCTGTCTCTGTGAGAATGTAGCAGTCCCTCCATTCTCAAGCTCACAAACAGGTTTTAAACCCTGAATTTCTGTTGTGTTGTGACTTTCACCTTTGCTGGTGAATGCTGCTTCCTTTTCTTCTTCTTGGGACACACCAGCAGGTCCTTAGCTGCTTTCTTGTCCTTCTTTATCTGGACAGCTGGTTCAGACAGCTTCCCTTCCTGCTTGATGCTCATCTGTTAATGTAGAACCATAAATAAGTCAGATACATGACCTCCTCTAAAGCCCCCCCACTCATCCAGCACTCAAGCAACCAAAGTGAGGCGGTCTCGCTATTTAGCAGCAGCTCCTTCACAACTTAAGCAGCCAGTCATGTGGTTCAAGCATCCTCTAAGGATATACCCCTGCTGGAGGGATAATAGACCAGAGGAAAACCACTAGTCCTAGAAAGACATGCTGAGAGAATACATCTGCCAACTGGCCTGAGAGTTTTCAGATTCCTCAACTGATTTTTTTTTTTACTCTGGTCACTGACCCATCAACCTTCTCAGGGTTTCTACTTGATATATTAGAGGTTTGGTAAATGGTCAGTACCTAACAGACCAAATCAAAATGCAGATTTCGTTGCCTCATTTTAGTGCCTGATCTCTGTACTGAAATAGTTGCCCTGCTTACAGGCAACATAAACATTACTGTGCGTGCCTAGTTAACATTACACCTAACGATGGTAGCAGCACACGCTCAAGGTTGTGGCACCATGTAACATTAGCCCACAGTTAGCTCTTAGCTACCTTAAATGCGAGTTGACACAACAACCTAAAAATATTTTGCTGTATTAAGCACTGGAAATGTTAAGTGTTAAATCATTGTAGTTGGGTTGGGTTTCATTTAAGTGATTTATTTATGTAGATTTCTTAATGTTTTAATACTTTTAAAAAGAGCAGCAGCACATAAGAAACTTTGCCAACTACCCTTCCTTCTCCTCCACATTAAGAGCCTGGCTTATTAGTAATCAAAACTGTAAACACTAAAATGGTATTTGTGTTATCTGAAGCTCTGGTTGGCAGCTGCTCTGCTTGTCAATGTCTCTGTGCAAAGTGTTCACACCTCATTGTGTTGTCTTGCTATTTGTTAATTATCATGTACTGTTCCTTCTGTGTATTTTAACAAGGCAGGCCCTGTTTATGTCTATATATTTTTCACTGCTTTTATAGTGGTTTGTTTTTTTAATGCTTTTATTCTTAACATCTGCGCTCTCATTATCTGCCCAGGGACTACAGATGAAAATTAGCCTCTGTGGCTTACTGGCATATTTTCAGAAATGTTGTAAATATTAACTGTCCCTGTGAAATAAAGCTAAAGTAATGTTAAATTAAGTAAAGTATTAAACACCCGCTTAGAAAAAACCCACACGATACTCAACCCTATAAATGAAAACGTCATTAACTGAAATGTTAAAAATCAATTTCTGAAAATATTTTCTATATTACTTAAGACTATTATTAAGACAACTATTAACTGGGACAAGGATGGTTTTCGTGTGTTAATACCTAAGATACATTTTCAGGGATAATGACTGACCATCTGTAAAAACAGGGCGGGGAATGATAGAAACAACTTCACACTGAACCATGAGAACAGTATTCAGACAAATAATTGCATCAATACATGGACTACTTCTTAAACCAGCATGGACTCACTGGCATATGAAGCAAGCATGGCAACTTATTGGTGAGTTTTAGGGGGAAATGCACTCCCACCTCGCCTCCTCCCTCCTCCTCTTCTCCTCCGCCAACACCACCATTCTTTGTCATCTCCTCCTGCATCATCAGCTGCTCTGGTGGGACAAGGTCGTGAGTGACCAGCGAGGTCCCGGTCAAGTCCTCCTCGTCATCTTCATCATCGTCGTCGTCCTCGGCCAAGAGAGGGTGGTTCGCCAGTGACCGTTCACCCAGGGTCATCACCACCAGTCCTCCTCCGCTGGCCAGACCGATTCGCCCTCCTCCATCTATCCCTCCGCTGCTGCACTTCAGCAGCATGCCATCCAACTTGTCATCAGTGTTCATCTTACAAAAAAGAGACATGATATTGTCACATTAGTCTGTGTTGTAAACAGAGTGGAGAAACATAAGTCCAGGTCAATACAGACAGCAACCATTACATTCTGGGCCGCACAGTCACAAACGTAATGTTTCACAATGAAACTAGTAAATTGTATGTGCCTGACACACTGATCACCAACTACTGTTCAATAACATCGTTGAGAGTTGTGATACAACAATAATGTATCTCAACAACAACTGGTAAACCAGTGATGAAACTTTCTGGAGGTATTGATGACATTATAAGCTAACTATGATAAAACTTTCACTTTCCAATTCACCTTTGACTGTTATGATCATTCAATGATTTAATTAGGATCAGAGACATATGAAATATAGGTTCCAAAGATTTCTCATTTGACTAATTTAGCATGAAAATTTTCCTCTTCTTTTAATTTTTTGACAGCAAGAAGTTTTAATAATAATAACAAATGCTTTAATATGTGCCTGTTTTTATAATCATACATCAAAACAAAATCAGCAGCTTAATTTGTAGGTGTCTATTTCTTGTACCAATCTTAACTATGAACATCACATGCACCCATCTCTCATGTACAATCCTGTCTTAGAGGACGAATAAACTCAACTTATTAGAACCATGTACAGGTAACTACATGACAGATTACATTAAGATCTGTCGTGGTGTGGCCCAACGTGTGATGATTTCACACAGAGCAGAATATCATCATGATTAAAATTCCCCAAATTACAAACAAATTATAACAAGTAGAGGAAGCTGACACTTAACATATCTTTATAAACCATTATTTGACCTTCTTCTGTGAAGGTTACTTAAACTTCCTCAAGTTGCATTACAGTACGTGTTATTACTTTACACTGCATATTTCTTTCTGTAAGGTTTGATCACAGACAACAGCTGAACCAGTTAAAGTTGACACCAACTTCTAAGAGGCACTGTTTCATCAACAGACATTGGACTGAGAGAGAGAGAGAGAGAGAGAGATAATAGTTGTTATAAAGGTAGTAAGTCAAAAATACTGGCAGAGCTGCTCCCACGCACTGATCAAAACAATAACAAAACCATTTAGCTTACAGTGTCATGGCTGATAGCTGTGTAAATTCATGTATTAACGAGCCAGGTCAAATAGACTCGTTTAATGTGGCTTTTAAATGACAGAACGGGATATTAGCAGCGCTGAGAGAGGAGATATAAAACCAGTTGTATATTTTACACTGAACAATGACACTGACTTGTAGCTGCTCTTCAACAACCTCCTGAGTGAACCAGCAGAGGCTCGGTGTGAAAACGGTAACACAAGCTAACCGAGCACTTGTGTCACCGTTTGAAATGAGTGGAGCTTTGAACGGGAGCTAATCCACGCTGAGCCGGGAGTCAGCGCAACTATCTGTCCCGGTGTGAACGCACACACGCCGACAACCGCAGCTGCGACCCATATGTAAACACACTCACTGTGTCGCTCGGGTTAAGTGGGTTAAGTCTCTCGCCTGGCAGCTAGCCTGCTAGCTAGCTAGCTGCGCCTGTCAGAGCTGCTAACTTCATCACGCTCACAACAAAACCGCTGCGGAGAGGTAGGAAGAGGGGCAGGCGCTCCTTCAAAATAAAAACCTCACTTATCATTTCGAATATGGGAGCGTCTACAAATCAACACAATTACGATCGAACTTAGATTATTATTGCGAGATGGTACTGGAATTATCTGAATATATCTAAAACCATGTCAGCCAAGCAAAAACAATATCCTGACAACTAATTCAGACGTGATTCCAGTTGTCTTTATTCAGGTCGAGACTCATAATTATAACATAGTTCCACTCAGCAAATGTCGCCATGTCAACTTAATATATCTGCTTTATATTTTCCACTGACTACCCAACACATGGCTCACAGGACGCCTTACTTTGAAGGCTACGGCCGGAAGCACAGTCTTTTACTATGTAAGTACTCGACAACTATCTACGGCCTGCATGAAGCTAGGTAATTAGCCGCTAGCACGTAGCTGCAAACATTGAGCAGCTCCTGTAGCTGCAATATTCAGTTGACATCGCACCTCTACGGTGGCAGACGAGTCCTCTCACACGCAGCACTTGCGAATAAACCCGAACTCGTGCCAAACGCCACGAATGACACGAAACACAACTTCGGTTCGCACAAACTTCTCAGCGGCGCTAGCTTCCTCAGTCACCCCGCTCCACAGGCCACAATGCTAGTGAAGCTAACTAGCTACAGCTCGCTACCGAGACAAACAATACGGCGCGTCCCGGTGGTGCACAGGAGAAATGTCAGGTGTCCCGGCCGCAGTGATTCTTCTTACCTTCTGTCCGTCTTACACCCGCTCAGATGTCATGGTTGTTGAGCAAGAAGACCACAGTGTAACGATGGTGTGCGGGATAATCACACACCATCACTGACATGGATGCACGGACGTCTCTATTTGTCGCCATCTAGCGGTGGAGAGGGGTTAGTGCGGGGAGCAGTGCGCCTCTGAAGTAAAGCTGCTGAACACATTTCGGAGCTGAGAGAGAACAAACACATACACTCACATCTACAAACTAAGCTCAACGCTTTGATTCAACACCGACTGACATTTACTCTCAACTTTAACGGAATAGGCCTTTTACTATCACTATTATTATATTCTATCTCAAATTATCAACTCTTCAAGCTGGGTAATAAAACCATAAAAAAAAATATTACAATACAAATTTCAGCTATAGCAATATAAAGCTTCAACACACACACACACACACACACACACACACGCACGCACACACACACACACACACACACCAAGTGATTGTAAAACCACACATTTTCCTTCAGGAGCCAAAATTAGTCTTGAACGTTAAAGAAATAATCTGACACACATTGTGATGATTATCGATTGATATATTAAGACATCTTTTTGAAAAGCTGCCTCAACAAAACATGAACTATTGAGGCTATAAAGAATAGTTGAATAGAGTAAGAGTGTAAAATACAAATAGGTTAATGGGAGCATCAAGAGGGTTCAATGGTCACATTCAGTCATTCTTAAATGAGGGTCTGTGGACCCCCGGGGGTCCCTGGCACACTGTCAGGGTGTCCATGAAAAGTTTACAGATTGATCCTTTGAAATTGTCAGAATATATGAGTATATACAAAACCATGGAGTTAGGGTCAGGGGATAGGGTGTATATTTCACCATGGTGTATTTGGCCTTTCTTAGACATGTATCTTGGGTTGTTCATTGAAATAACTGATTACAAATTTAAAATGTATAATTTTGATTATATTTTATTCTAATACACTATTAAAAAAAGGATTCAGGCAATATGTTGGAGGTATATAAACATGTTGAGGGTCGTGATAAGATGATAGCCTCTCTCTCCTTCCCTCTCTCCCTCTCTCTCTCTCTCTCACACACACACACCCTCCAGTGTGAGGAATACTAATCAACCTGTTTGCTGACAAGTGCAGCAGCTCGGCGCGCAATTTGGGACTTCTCTCCTCTCTTGAGTCCAGAGACGTCTCTGCCGGATTTTGATCTGAACCTCCACCTGCTGGATTTCATCACGTTATCCAGCGATCGACTGTTTCCTCACTGCTGCCTCTGTGTCCTCTGATGTGCGACAGGCAGAGACAGAGAGAGGACCTGTGGACTGACAGCCCACTCACTCCTGCGCCGCTCTTCTAGCCGGGGAAGCCCCTCCACGCGTTGCGCGCCTGGATCGCCGGCAGCCCATATAGGATACCTTCACTGCGTGGAGTGCGTGTGCATGTGCGTCTGGGTCTAAATGTGTAAGTTCGCGCACGGCAAAGCCCCGGGCTCCGTCCTCAACAGTTGCCACCGGAGCGGAGGAGAGGAGCGGAGGAGAGCGAGGGAGACAGCGGACTGAGGACGGACGGACGGAGCCCCTCTGCACGCCGCTTCTGCCCGGCTCTGCTCCTGACATGCAGTCGCTCATCTCTCCGGTGACAAAGGCCATCCTCGTCGCGCTCTTCATCTTCGCCATACTCCTCATTCTCTATGTGATCCTCTGGTACATTTGCAGAGACGTGGACTGCGACCACGGCATCTGAGGACTCCGTTCATAAAAACGGGAATAACGGGGATTTCGCGATGGGGCGCGCAGCGGAGCCCAGGGTCATCCCGTGAGTCTGCTTTTTCTGTCTGCTGCTTCTTGTTGTGTTTGTAGGTTGTCTGTGGCAGTGTCTGTGTGTGTGTGTGTGTACACACGCGCATTCCTATCCTATTGCGCGTAAAGTGAAATGCTCTCTGGTTTAGAAAGGTGATGACCGGCGTGCGTCTCCCCCGGCACCCCGGCACCCTGAACCCAAACAGAGACCCTAATTCATTTCTGTTTAACTTCATATCGAACATCTATCAATATGCAACCTTATGCATCACAGACCCGCTGTTGTAATCACAGGGAAATACTCTAAGGTGAAACAATGTCATCAGGAGGACATCGAACTGGTGCGGACGGCGCGGATGGAGCGTGTGCGCGCTCTCATTTAAAAGGCTACACGAAGGCCGCCGGTCACACTGCGGTAAACAGCGCGGGGGTGTCCCGTAAGGTCAACAGTGTTTTCCAATATTGTTTTGCGCCCCCCTCCACCCTCCTCTCCACAATTCCTCCACCTCCTCCCGTATACATCTGCAGCGTTAGTTCACATTCAGTTCATCTTGGTCTCTGTGGATGCGTCCACATTGGCGTTTTACATCCAACGAGATAACGGGATTATCTCAATTGGCTCCTGCATGTCTTCCCCTTAATCTGTTTTGTGCCCTGTTTTGGACCCCTTATCGTGAATACCCCAGCTAATGCTTTTACGCATAGCGCATTTATTTCCCCTTGACATCCAGTGAGCTTGTTGCAACAAGCTATGCCCAATCTTAGTTTATAGGAAGATGTCACACACACACACACACGCACACACACACGCACACACACACACACACACACACACACACACACACACACACACTGGCCACACGTTTGATGAAGGACCTCTCAACATTGCAGGCACGTTGGCCCCTGCACAGTGCCTACATTTTTTGTCACATGGCCCATAATGATATTGAAGATAGTAAACATATGTGAGATATGAGTCTCGCTTTTCACAGATCCAAAGTAATTTGTTTTCATCTGCAGCAACCCCAGACAGGGGGAAATGAAGAAGCTGTGCACACGCTAAAGTAGATAATGTGAAGGACACACCAAGGACACGTTGCTTTTCCAGGCTTTTTTAAGACACTGGAGCAGAAACGTGGCGAGGACACACACCGAACCACTCTATGACAAAAATTACAAATTCACATCTTCACGTAACATGAGGGTGGTCTGTTGGGAAATACGACTCATACCTGATTTGGTGCTGATTGATAATACGTATCAGCAACACACACTGTTAAATTACCCCCTTTTCACTGAACACCACTAAATAACCAGAGGATTTAAACATCCAAGCATCCCCCACACAATTCATCAAAGTTTAAGATTATTTTTTCCTAAACCTTCTTATTTAGCGCTGCAGGCGCAATGTTGAAGTATTTAAAAATCCATAAGCAGCCTAAATGCTGGATGCAGACCCCAAAGAAGAAACCCCACAGCCTGGTAAATTGCTGTGTGCTCTCTCCTGCAGAGAAAAGGAGAGTCTGGTGGGATGGCAGATGCCCTCTTTGACCAGACTACAAAATGATTCCTGTCAGCTATGAGTAGATATACAGCCAACCTCTGTTACTACTCACTCACACACACGGACACACACACACACACACGGACACACACACACTGTAAATGACTGTTCCAGGTTGTTCCAACTTCATCAGCCCCAACAGAAAAAGATCCTGCTCTTATTGTTGGTGTCTGTCTGTTTAAACCACTGTCCTGGATTGCCTGTGTGTGTCTGTGTATGTGTGTGTAAGTGTGTGTTAAGGTGGGAAAAAGCAGTGTTTGAGTGAGTGTGTATGTTTGTGCAGTTTGTTAAAAAAAAGAAAGGCAGTGTGCGTTTGTGAGTGCCAGCGTGGGAGGGGGTTAAACACTGACATGCTCTAGAATGACAGATGAGGAAAAAAAAATGTGGAGCAGAGGAGGCTCAGCATGAGAGACAGGTGTGTGTTCCTGTGCACGTGTGTTTGTGGGAAAGAGAGAGAGTGTGTGTACATGACCATTAGTAAAATTTTACTTTATTGAAAATGTTTTCCTTCAAACTGTAATATTGCAGTGTACCAGCTGTGTTATGGCAGATGTGATGTTCTATGCAGCATGCGTGAGCTGAAAAATTAATTAAACAAGACTTCCAATCACAGACATATTGAAGACCAATTTCTTAGTTTATTTCATTTCATAGTCATCTTAAAATGATTTTTGCAAAACCATAAGATAAGATACCTTTATTGATCCTCCGTAGTGAAAATTCACAATTGACACAGCGGCACAAGGAAGTTGCAGTGGAAAGGGAAAATGTAGTAAGACCAAAAGTATAAATAAAAATATGGAAATAACACCATACAAAAATGTACAATATTAAGATAGGGATCAAGATCATGTAATTGTGCAATGTGCCCATTCTTTGTAATATACAATGTACACATTGTGCAGCACTTCTTTCCTGTTGTACATTGTGCATTATACTTATACTTAAATGTACTGATATTAACCGGTCCCCTTTTCATAAAAATAACATCACATAAAAAGATGGTCCTTTCTTTTCCCAAATCACATAACAAATCAATCAATAATTAATAGCGTAACCATAACATAAAATAACTCACTTCACACTGCTTCATTATTTTTCTCTTTATACATTTTCTTAGATTGAATATTATTTGAGCCACAATTTAAATAATTGTCCACAGTTTAACTCCATGAACAGAAATACACATTTGATTTAATGTAGTGCGTCAGACTGTGACACTGGATTGGTTTCACCTCAATCTCTATGGTCATATGTGTGATAGAGTATTTTTATTCCACGAACACAACAGAGTGAAACTTGATGTGAATCCGTAGGATGAAGACAGATGTGGCTGCTTTCAAAAGCTTGAAAGTGAATACGCTTTGATGAATTGAGACTGAAGTCATAAAATATAGGGATAAAAGTAAATTATTGAAGCTGGCTATGACTGAGTTAGGATTTTTTTAACCTATTCTGGCCTCAGAATGTGTAAATACTGCCAGAGTGTGAATGAGTGTGTGTGTTTGCCTCCCGCTGTTCATTCTCACAAATAATTCATAGTGGACAGAGCTGCTTGACCATCATCGCTGATGAATTCCTAAGTCCCACATAATACCTGCCTTCATGAATAAGGACATGACCAGAGACGTTTCCTGTTATCAAACTAAAAAGCAGCTGCAAAGGTCAGAGTTTCTACTCGAGTTGCTGGGACGTGACGTTTAAGGTCACGGAGCAAGGCCCAGAAGCTGAATGGAGTCAGAGCTGAGTAAATAATAAAATACTGTGTGAGAATAATTCACATTTTTTAATGTATTTTAACTTCAAATATTTGTCCCAGCTGCAAATGATGCACATTATGTCAACCTCCATTATTA